TGTGTGTGTGTGTGCGTGCTTGCGTGCATTGTTAAGTGTTATCTTACCTGTCTGGCTCCAGGTCGACAATGCCCATCACTATGATCTTCTTCCCCGGCCGCATGCCGCTCCGGATGCGCCCGCTGAATGGCACCGTCTATGCAAAGTACATTGAATTTATTAAGCACAGCCCGGAGATCAAACAAGGACACGTAAGAGACCGTTAAGGCATCTCTCATACCAGGAGACGTGATAGATCCTCCTTATCAGGGGAGATGAGTCCGGGGTTCCCCAGCGAGTCGTTCAGGTGGTCATCCTCCACATTCTTCAACACCAGTGACAAAAGACACAGGACGCAAACTGTCATTTATCGCCCATCAGGTAGGATATAAACCGGCCTGGCTCAGGTTAAACAGCCAACATGAGGCTGCAGGCCTGTTTATATACACACAGTGTGGCCTTGCATGCGGCTCTTCCCAACAATGACGAGGTGGCAGCGGACCTGTCATGTTGTTATCGGGGCTCCGGTAGCGAGCCATGTTCCAAATTAGCCTCATAAACCCGCACCTGCGATGGAAGTGCGCACATTCATAGCGCCGGTAGAGCGGCCCAGGTGAGCACACACTGCCGGTACATTTCACCACCAACATATTGGATTTCTTCCCCCCGGCTGAACGCGGAATGAAAGAGGAGTCGCCTTGCGCCGTGAATGCGCTGCGCACGGCGCTCCGCATTTACAAATAAGCGGCGGATAATCGACATAACGGTGCGCTTAAATCAAATCCGCAGGCCGTTATGCACAGAAATTAAACACCAGCACATCCAACCTCCCGCCCTGGTTCCCCCGAAGCTCCCAAATACTCACTATTCCGTCCTTTTCCGCTGCCTGCACCGCCATCTTGAGCAGAATAGCATAGGATGCTGATTATCGGAGCAGAGGCGGCCCTGCCGGCGAGTGTGGTGTGTCAGCGTCGTGGCACTGACTCAGGAGGATATTCCTGATCCTGCTCCTATTCCTGGGTCTCCACGTCTGAGCGGGCCTGACACAGAGCACTGCAGCCACCTAGCAGGACATCCCTCCGCTCCTGTGTGTCTGAAATGGGTGGATATCTGCTGACGTATGCTTTATAATAATTACAGACTAAAAGCTTAATCCCCGTCTGTTGGAGAGGGCTAATCACACAGATTTCCCTCAACCCTTCACCCAATTAGGCAACGCGCACTTTGGGCTTTTTATTTCTAGATTGGGGGAACAATCCGGCAAATAAGTTGGGTTGGATAACCGGACTGCTGCGCTCACTGTGTGTGTGTGTGTGT